TTGTAAGCTCCGTACCTGTATTAAATCAGTCTCAGAATGTGGTGTTCTGGGGAGCACGGCTTAGTTCCATATCGGTAAGCCTTCAATACATTATAACACTGTGGAAGGCGTGTACAGACATGGGCCTATAAACTCCATCATTGCATTTTTATCCCTTATATTAGGGACCATGAGGCAGATGGTTTTTTGCTTAAGCCAGTTTGAGTTTCTGTCATCTGCAACTCAAAGTGCCCACACCAATAAAATAATTAACATTTGCATATTATTTTACAGATTAAAGTACTGCTTTATTCTTACAATAAACAACATAAGGTAGGCACTTTAGTAGTACCCTTTATAAGCAAGAAATGAAATGCAGAGAAACAGCTAAAATGAACCAGTGTTCCTGCCCAGAACCTATTATACTCTTGCTATTCCAACTCCCTTCATCTGCATAGAAAGTTTTAAGTGACCTCAATTTTCTGAGTGGGCATGGTTCACATTCTCTGTACATGGTAAGCTACAGTAGTGCAGTTAGGAATTATGCTTTTAACAATCATTAATTTGAATATTTCCTCTACTTTCTTTAAGCCCTTCTAATTTCTAATTCTGAAATGGGCCTGAGCTAAATAGTCATTCTGAGACCCCCGACTTCCCTTTACACAAATAGTCAAAAGCCTCCAGGTAACTGCTAACTTCTCAGCCCAGCACATCTCCCCGCGCCGCCCCGCCCCCCTTTCCTCCTTCCTTTCCCACTCTGGAGGAATGGGTTGTTTCTTCATCCATTATCATCTCTCTGTACCAAGTGAGGGGACACTGCCAGGTGCTAGAAAAACGAAATGAAGCACCCACAGGTCTGACTGATGGAGCTTCTAAATTTCCTTTGTCAGGTTCTTTAAAAAGATGCTTAGAAAAACCACCCGAGGCTGATTGCACAGCTTGCTCTCAACTGTACAATACTATTGTTGACCATCTCCAGCTCTGAGGTCAGTCTGAGTGTTGTCAGCCAGCATACTGGAATTGCTCTTCACACCAATTTAAATTAACTTGGCAAGTCCGTCTTCATGAGCTGCAGCATTACCACCCTCTCCAAGCCCAAAAGTAGATCCTGTGTAGGTGTAGCCTCCACTTTGGTAAATAACAGAGCTGTGCACTCATTTCAGCTCAGGATGGAAGGCAGCAAACAGTTGTTTTCAAAAGAAGATTTATTCATTAAAAAAAAAAAAAAAAAGACCTGGAACAACTTCTCAGATCAAGCTGGTTTAAGTTATAAGAAATAAGCTGTTGCACCAAAACAAAAATGTGCCCCCTCTGTTATCCAATGAGGTGTATCTCATCAAAGCAAATAAAGGCAAAAACCCAGTAAGAACTCTGAGCATCACATGCCCTTCTAATTTTCACCACTCTGTACCCCAAGCATGTCAAACTCGAAGCCCATGGGCCGTATGTGGACCACAATGAATATTTTTTTGGCCCAGTCAATATAACAGTATGTAAGAAACATTTTAATAAAAATTTTGTAACTTAATTTTTACAATATTGTTATACATAATTATTAATAATGAACTACAACATTTGCTAATGACTGATTTCTATAATCATGTTGCATTCATTTCCGCCACATCATTAGTCTTGGACTGACTTGTTTGGTGTGCACAACAGGAAATATTTTGCTTTCGGAGAACAAGAAAAATAGGTTTATTTGCATTATGCTTATTAAATTGTGCAGGTATTCAGTGTCTGGTAAGTTAATGTTAAAGAAAAAAACATTAATTTTTATTAAAGTGCTCTATTATTTTATGTGAACGATTATTCATTTTAGCCCTTTGTATTTAGCATGTCTCTGTTGAAATAAACTCACGTTTCTATGAACATTGAAGCTTTTGTTTTTTTGTGGCCCACATAAACTTAAACCTTGTTTATTTGGCCCATATTAGCCTTTGAGTTTGACATGCTTGGAGTACCCCAAGCATGGGCACAGGACTTAAGGTATGATTCAAAGTGCCCATCTTCCAAGGAGTGACCATGAAAAAGTGTTTTCTCCATCTATTCTTTGTGTTCTCATCTTCTCAAACGTAGAAGCTGAACCTTGAAGGGCAAGGAAATTGGAGTAGACCTCGTAAGAGAGAGAACCAAGAGACCTAAAACCCCAAATGACAGGACTGGTATTTTCAAGGGTAACTTCATGCTCATGGCAAAAGTACTCCCTCCTCTGTTTACAGTGGGACACTCAGCCTAAGGAGGGACCTAATCAGGAAAACCAGGAA